GCCACATGCACTCATGAATGTTAGAAATACATACGAAGGTTAAAAGATTTTAAGACACACTGTGTGCTTCAGAAGCAAAGGAGAAATCTTTCAAAAACACAAACACAGCGTAATTTTTATGACTAGACTGAACTGTGGCCATGTTTACTTGTTGCTGGATGAGCAGCAAATTGTGACTCCCAGTTTTGTATCGCAGGGCTGCTCTAATTAAATGCTCACCAATATATCTTATCTAACAGAGACTACAATAAGGGAGAATAGGAAGCAAAGAGGGAAGAAAAACCAGGCTAAATAACATTGCTTTAAACCCAATTCTCTAGCATATTGTACCCTACATTGTCCTTTACTCCTTTGAAAGCAGGTAGAAAATACTGTCAAGGAGCTTTTTTTCCCCATATTGCATATAAGTAAAATTATTATGGTAATTACGTATGGCAACTCAGAAAATATTTGTTAGGAAATTGGATTCAGGCTACAAGTGTCTAGTAAGGAAATGCCTCCATATAGGATGTAACTACTTGAGAAACAACCTCCCTCCAACCTCCACTGTAATTTTACATGTTCCAGCTTATTTCAAGGAATAGTTGCACCTTTGCCATGAAAAGTAATCGTCTTGCTCAGGCCATTAAATACTGATAAATAGATCTTGGTAATTTTTTTTGTACTTTTTAAATTCCACTTCCTTTCTTATTGTTCTATTTATTGCCCCTCTCAACACAATTAAACTGGGTCCAGCCAGGTGGCTACCTATACAATACAGGCACGTGGGATGAATAGCTCCTATGTATTGCAGTACTTTTCTCCCTTGCAATGCTATTTACAACTAAAGGGACTTCCCTGAAGTGTTGTCAGAGGTATTTTAGCTCACCTCAGTCACATCTTAGCATCCAAAGGGATATTTTTTTATTATTTTCTGGTGGTTTTTTTTTTACATTTTCCTGACTTAAAAGCTTTCTGTTGTACTAATGTGTTTACAACGAGGTGCGGCCTCACCAGTGCCGAGTACAGGGGCACCATCACTTCCCTACTCCTGCTGGCCGCACTATTTCTGATACAGGCCAGGATGCCAAAATACTGTCAAGGAGCTTTTTTTCCCCACACTGCATATAAGTAAAATTATTATGGTAATTAAGTATGGCAACTCAGAAAATGTTTGTTAGGAAATTGGATTCAGGCTACAAGTATCTAGTAAGGAAATGCCTCCATATAGGATGTAACTACTTGAGAAACAAACACCTCCCTCCAACCTCCACTGTAATTTTACATGTTTCATCTTATTTCAAGGAATAGTTGCACCTTTGCTATGAAAAGTAATCGTCTTGCTCAGGCCATTAAATACTGATAAATAGATCTTGGTAAGGTAATTTTTTTTGTACTTTTTAAATTCCACTTCCTTTCTTATTGTTCTATTTATTGCCCCTCTCAACACAATTAAACTGGGTCCAGCCAGGTGGCTACCTATACAATACAGGCACGTGGGAGGCTACCTATATAATACAGGCACGTGGGATGAATAGCTCCTATGTATTGCAGTACTTTTCTCCCTTGCAATGCTATTTACAACTAAAGGGACTTCCCTGAAGTGTTGTCAGAGGTATTTTAGCTCACCTCAGTCACATCTTAGCATCCAAAGGGATATTTTTTTATTATTTTCTGGTGGTTTTTTTTTTAACATTTTCCTGACTTAAAAGCTTTCTGTTGTACTAATGTGTTTACAAATTGACAAAGATCCCAATTGTTTTAATTGCTTAAATTGTCATTCTGTTTGTCATCTACACAGCTAGAAAAGCCAAAGCTATGTCTCACTGTTATCACACAACATA